CGGCCGAAAACCCACCACCAGCTACTGAGGTTCACGCGACGCACCACACCACGCATCACGCCCGCCCCCCAGTGAAGAACTGACAGTCAACCGACTCCTTCACGGTGCCATGGGTCGAGGGCAATCGCCTCCCCCACCCCCGTGAACCCTGATAACCCAAGGTCATCGCCAAATTCAAGGGGGGACTGCTGTGCGAAACTTGTTTGACAATTTCTGACATCTGCACGACTGGCCTCTCCTCACCGATGTGCACGGTGGGGCTACGGCCGGTGCGAAGGAAGTTCAACGTAACGTACAAACAGGAGTGGTTCTGGTCTCCGTATTAACGTCTATTATACGGTACCTACAATAGTGCTGTTTGTTACTGGACGCCCGCTGTTCTGGACCTTTGGGGCCTGTGCTCAACAACCGCGATTAAAGAAAACAAACGCCGGGGTGGTCAATAATTTCCATTTATTTCGTTTTTAGTCAAATGTACAAGCCACGGTGTGGTGGATTCACGGGGTCCTAAATACATTAAAATCATAGCCGGTTCTAATTTAATTTGGCGCACGGGTCACTGCCAAAGCGCCAAACATTTCAGTGGTCAGGGCTGTCCGGGTCACGTGGCAATGTCACGTGGCTTCGGGAACCAGGCACAGTCCACCACATTTGCAAATGTCCTTCTCCCACTTGCACCTGAGAACTGGCTCACACGTGGAACCTCGTGGACCATCCACCAGGCACGGGGCATCAAATATTCACATTGGCATCGCCTGCAATTTAGATACAGGGACATTTTTTTTTATTAAGCCACTTCAGAATACATTTTCAAGACGTGAAATGTAAGCCTCGGAGACACTATCTTGGTCTAAGGCATCCTACCTGAAGCAATGCACACGATCCTTGAATGTTTCCATGTATGTATTTCACTTTCACGCCCTAGTTAGTGTAACATGCACATCCACGTATAAACGTCCGCGGCGCGCTGGCATTACTGTACACATTTGTAAGTGGAAAAAGAATGACGTCCTGCTATATATTTAACAAAAGTATGAAAACATTTCCATTTTGTGGGAGGTTTTAGTTTTTTTTTTTACATATACTTACAAAGCGGTGGTTGAAATGAGCCAACATATGACGGTAACACCACGCCGGCGCTTCTCATTGGAGCACAACGTGGATACCACCGAAACGGAACTCTTCAGAACTGGGGTCCTACTTCTACACCACGATGTTTCACCGCAGAGGGAAAGCGCCGGAGAACATGGCCAAGCAGGACAAATACGTTTCACACGGTGGGGACTTGCATACAGGGCGCTTCAAAAAAATGTTAACACTTTTTTTTTACGGCATTTTAGTTTTTCATGGATAAAGAACGTGATAACAAATGTAACGTTAATAGCTTCAAAAAGTCAAAGTCTCCCACTTTCTCGTGGTGTTGTTGCAAATTCTCTGAAGTGTTAACGTTCTTTTGAAGCACCCTGTATTTGTATATTGTCAACTCCACGACAGAGGTTTTTGGGGTTAGGTTTTTAGGGTTAGATCGCATGAATATTGTGTCGTTAAGCCCGCCACCACCCGACACAGCCAATTAGTAAGGTTTCTCACTTGGATAAAACATGGCAATTCGTTACAAGTACAGCACACCGGTGTGTTGGGAGAGTAAACCCACAACATTTACAATTCGAGTACGACGCTTCACCAGTAATAACAACTAGCATCATCAGGCAACAGCCAGAGTTGCGGTCGCGAAAGCCTACGTGTTAAAACCGATTTTGACCACTGCTAAAAAAAAAAATCCAAAACGACATATATAGAATGGTGCTGCTCATCGAACATGAAAGTTTTGGCAATGGAAATACGGCGACAAAACAAAAAAATGACAAATCTAACCGTGGCTCAACGTCGAAACATTCCACGCGAAACATCAAGTCGACATCGCTTGGCTGGCTAGGAACTGGTTCCCCCCCCCAACTTTCAGGTGTGTGTGTGTGTGTGTCTTTTTTTGCGCGATTCGACACAGCGCGTCAATTCGGCGGCTGTCGCCGTCGGCCCTGCGTGTGGAGAGTCGCGTCAGAGAAAGCATCGAAGAGCGCGGCCGTCGCATTTTGACGCGCGCAAAAAAGTGAGGCGTGAAACAAACTAACAAAAAATGCGTTCGCGCCGTCTTATGTACACCTCTGCAACGCACGCAATAAAAACGCAGTTTGACTTACAGTGTCTCACACATTGATGTAAATTTATACAATGCATTTAAAAATATTTTTAGGGGTTTTTTTTTCTCCACCACCCCCCCCCCCCCCCAACTCTTCCCATCATCAAGCATGATTTGTCAGTACATTCTCGTGCGGACTGCGTCGGGTCTGCGTGTTGAGAAGAGCAGAGTGCACGCGTTTAAGAGGTTCGTTTTTTCCATAAATATCAAGACCGTCCCTGAAGGGTGGAATTGACATTTCAGGAATTTGCTCCCCTTTGAACGACGTCCACAAAGGGGCAATTCCTCTAATAGCATCTCAATTCCATCGAAGATGATCCACAAACGGTGCACAGAGGGAACCCGTGACTGGCAGACTGCCCCAATTCCGAGCTCAACATCCTCGGCATCCGTTACCAGCAGTCGAGTCTCCCGCCCCCCACAAACCCACGGGAATGTGCAGAAAATATGAAGGTGAAATTGCACAGCTGGACAAAGGCCTCCCCCCCATCCCCCACCCCCCCCCCTTGCCACGTCGCTTGTGGAGGCCTCGATGCCATACTTCACCGGCACCGGCTCGGGATAACAGGGAGCGCAGATATTGGAAAATAGTACAGTACAATGGATTTTTCCTCACCAATCTCGACCAGCGGCGTAGCCACGCGAGAGCCTGCACCCGCATTCATGCCGTGGTCGCCCGTCCAAGCACTATTGACGCTGCTTAACTTCTGAAATATTAAAAGATCGGTCTCATGTCAGTTGATTTGGTCGAAGAGGTGAAAAATAGTTACACCATCATTTACCGACTGCTAGTAGCTCATGAAGAGGCTTGCACGTCCTCATTTAACGTAGATATAGAACAAATCGTTCATGATGTCGTGATATCTCGTACTTTTAATTTCCCACGTCGATGGGAAATTAAAAGAACGAGGACGGTGGTGCACGTTCCCACGCGGTGACATCACAAGCAGCCACTCTCAAGAGCCGTTGAGCGGCCTCTCCAACCCAAAATGCCACAAAAAACTTTACTCCAGCAGCATTGCTGAAGGCGTTAATGGGCCAGAGCTCTTTATCTGGAAAGATCCGATTGGCCTGCCGCGTGGCACAAAACATCACGTGCCGATTAACGTGCCCAAACTTTTTACGTCGGATCACCAAGTGAGCAACTCGATACGCAAGTTCGCATCCCGTTGGTACAAATCTAGGCCGTTGTGTCCCAGGTTGCCCAACACGAGATTGAGATTAAAAAAAATTAAGTACGGTGCTGTAGCCCTGCAGTGACGTTTAAAGTGACACCCACTAGAGAAGCTACGGCCATGATGATGAAATGATTTTTCTCTCGTTAGCAAAGCCACAAATTGATGTAAAGACAGCTTGAGACAGTCTGAGAAAACACCAACAAGAGCTAATTGCTTTTTTGTTTGCGATGCGTCCTCCTTTAAGTATTCATTTTTTTCAAAAGAGTTTTCAAATTTAACAAACGTAGCTCATCTCAGCAACTCGCATCTGGTCCCACGTTAACTCAGGACAGTGTCGGGCATGTCAATTCCTCAAGGCCTTTTTGTTGTTACAAACTGAACGCAAAGAATGTCACTCTCTTTCCCACGCGGCCGTGGAAAGTGAACTTTATAAAATAGCAAAAAATGAAGTCCATTTTGTTTGTATTCTCTTAGCTGTCATGTTATAGATGTTTAATTATCCACATTGCAAAAGAGTATTTGCAAGCACCGTAGCACGAAAGGCCTGGAGCAATCATGAGGGGCTCCCAATCGACACAGCAAAGAGAAAGACGCCCCGTATAGCCTTAACATAATGTTGGGGCAAGTGCTGTTCACGAACACCTATTAAGGCCGGAACGGCACACGAGGGGGTGGGTGGCCAACACCATGCACGGCCGCCTTTGTCTCCCTAGTGGCGATGTTTTACACACCGCACCAGGTACTCATTTCAGGCCGAGTCGATCTAGGGGAAAGCCCACAACCGGTTCAGGATAGTCCTGCACTCGTGTTGGCCGTGAGCGGGAATCGAATCCGGGTTGCTGGATTCGCAGCGCAGCGCGCTAACCGCTACACTACCGCTCCTCCTCCTCCAACACACACACACACATGCTCCACAGATTGCGCAATAACGCTGGCAGCGGCTAACACTACCGACGCCACCGGCATCGCCTGCCACCGCAGCGCCATCAGCGCCCCTTGTGCGTGGAGCATTGTCTTGGGACTATTGTAGACACAATGGACCACACCACAGGTACAATTAATAGGCCTAACCTGTACTGGTGTAAGCACATTGGACACATTTGGCAAGTCAGGATTATATATCGGTGGAAAGCCCGGGATGTACAGGTGCCAAACCCAGTCGAGTGGGGGGCAAGTTCAATGCTTTAAACGACATCACACCCAGTGCAGACTGGTAGCTGTATACGTCTGAGTAAGGCCTGTCAGCAGAGGTTGTATACCACGTCCCGATAGATGGCAAGTCTAGTCTGTGCAAGTGGCAAGCCCAATTTATACTTGCAGTCAGCTCAGTTTGTAAAGACAAACCCACAAAGACAGGTATTGAAAAGTGTTGGTAAGTTTAATGCATGCAACGGAGGCAACAGCAGTCTGTACAGGCGGCAAGCCCAATGTACACTGGTGGTGGACAAGCCCGGTGTGAATGGTAAACCCATCTTTACAGGTGGCAAGCCCAGTGTGCGAGTGCGCTGAGCGTGCTACGGGAAGGAGGGAGGGAGGGAGGGAGGGAGGGAGGGAGGGAGGGAGGGAGGGAGGGAGGGAGGGAGGGAGGGAGGGAGGGAGGGAGGGAGGGAGGGAGGGAGGGAGGGAGGGAGGGAGGGAGGGAGGGAGGGAGGGAGGGGAGGGGCGTAGCGGCACTATCGCACTTTCTTCTGCTGCCGCACGCGGTAAATGTCATGGGCGGGCGGGGTGGTAGAAGTCATCGCCCGTTTAGCGTTCGAGGACGACGCCGAAGAGACGGAGGACGAGGACGCCGCTCCGCCCACCCTCGCCTTGTCGTCCTCCTCGTCCGAGTCGTCCGCCGCCGAGCGCTTCACCGCCCCCGACCTGCGCACGGGGTCGTGACCCCGGTGGGCGCCGCCGTCGGCGCTGCCGTTGTTCCCCTCGGCCGCCGACGCCGTGGCCGCGGCCGCCTCGGCCGCCGCGTGGCTCAGGGAGATGAGCTCGACCGCCTTTCCCACCGCTTGGTGTTGGGAAATCGTGAGGGGCGGGGAGGTGGGGGGAGAGAAGGGGGCATGTCGCACGGCTGAGCACCCGTCATTCAGCTTAACAGAGAAACTTCACAGAATATTTGCAGTCGGGCACACAAATATTATAGGGGAGCCACGGTGGCGAGATGTTAACTACCTCGCCTGGTATGCAGGAGGTCGTGGGTTCGATCTCTCTCCCTGTGGTGGTCGCGTGGATTTTTATCCTGGTTCTCCAGTTTTTTTCCCCTCCACATTAAGAATCGACGTGCGTTTCCAGTACTTTTGCTGCTATAAATTTCCAAATGACGTATAAACCGCTTCGTTGAGCCACCATTTGTGGCCAGGTCACTTCTGAAAAAGAGCTCCGTAACTCACTGGGGCCTTACCTGGTAAAATAAACAATTTAAATAGTCTAAGTTTTTTTAGAATGGCACCGCAAGCGAAATGTCATTCTCGAGAGACGTTTCGGAGTTCAGCTCCGTCCTGTCTGGAAGAGGCGGTGGGGGTAAGAGATTTACAACCGGTAAACAAAGTACATTGCGCCGAGGATCCTCCGATGTCAAAGGAGTTGCTGGCGGTTTAATAAAGCGTGAATTCTGAAAACTCGCTCAGGTATATTTTATTTTGGTTGCGGTGTCATGTAGCCTGAATAAAAAAATAATGTTTGGATTCGTTAATGTATGTACGTACGTTGAACCTCTTTCGCACCGTACGTAGCCAACCGTGCTGATCGGAGGCGTGGGGAAAGGACAACAAACTAAACACAAAAAGCAGTTCTAGATTATTTAAAAGTGCATAGCTCCCAGTGGCTTGCTAATATCGGAAGAGCGTTCCAGACGGCCGCAGAAGCGCATCTGAAAGTGCGCGATGCGGTGGCCGGCTTTTGTTCGATGGCTTAGCCAAAAACCGCTGCTGTGTGGACGACCGGAGTTCGCGTGATGACGGTGTACAGTGAGGGAAAAAAGTATTTGATCCCCTGCTGATTTTGTACGTTTATCAGCCTCTGCAAAACATGACTTAGTACTTGGTGGCAAAACCATTGTTGGCAATCACAGAGGTCAGACGTTTCTTGTAGTTGGCCACCAGGTTTGCACACATCTCAGGAGAGATTTTGTCCCACTCCTCTTTGCAGATCTTCTCCAAGTCATTAAGGTTTCGAGGCTGACGTTTGGCAACTCGAACCTTCAGCTCCCTCCACAGATTTTCTATGGGATTAAGGTCTGGAGACTGGCTAGGCCACTCCAGGACCTTAATGTGATTCTTCTTGAGCCACTCCTTTGTTGCCTTGGCCGTGTGTTTTGGGTCATTGTCATGCTGGAATACCCATCCACGACCCATTTTCAATGCCCTGGCTGAGGGAAGGAGGTTCTCACCCAAGCATTGACAGTACATGGCCCCGTCCATCGTCCCTTTGATGCGGTGAAGTTGTCCTGTCCCCTTAGCAGAAAAACACCCCCAAAGCATGTTTCCACCTGCATATTTAACGGTGGGGATGGTGTTCTTGGGGTCATAGGCAGCATTCCTCCTCTTCCAAACACGGCGAGTTGAGTTGATGCCAAAGAGCTCCATTTTGGTCTCATCTGACCACAACACTTTCACCCAGTTGTCCTCTAAATCATTCAGATGTTCATTGGCAAACTGCAGATGGGCATGTATATGTGCTTTCTTGAGCAGGGGGACCTTGCGGGCGCTGCAGGATTTCAGTCCTTCACGGCGTAGTGTGTTACCAATTGTTGTATTGGTGACTATGATCCCAGCTGCCTTGAGATCATTGACAAGATCCTCCCGTGTAGTTCTGGGCTGATTCCTCACCCTTCTCATGATCATTGCAACTCCACGAGGTGAGATCTTGCATGCAGCCCCAGGTCGAGGGAGATTGACAGTTCTTTTGTGTTTCTTCCATTTGCGAATAATCGCACCAACTGTTGTCACCTTCTCACCAAGCTGCTTGGCAATGGTCTTGTAGCCCATTCCAGCTTTGTGTAGGTCTACAATCTTGTCCCTGACATCCTTGGAGAGCTCTTTGGTCTTGGCCATGGTGAAGAGTTTGGAATCTGATTGATTGCTTCTGTGGACAGGTGTCTTTTATACAGGTAACAAACTGAGATTAGGAGCACTCCCTTTAAGAGTGTGCTCCTAATCTCAGCTCGTTACCTGTATAAAAGACACCTGGGAGCCAGAAATCTTTCTGATTGAGAGGGGGTCAAATACTTATTTCTCTCATTAAAATGCAAATCAATTTATAACATTTTTGACATGCGTTTTTCTGGATTTTTTTTGTTGTTATTCTGTCTCTCACTGTTCAAATAAACCTACCATTAAAATTATAGACTGATCATTTTTTTGTCAGTGAGCAAACGTACAAATTCAGCAGGGGATCAAATACTTTTTTCCCTCATAGTATGTTCCTTGACGAGATCAGCAAGGCATTGCGGTTCATTTGTGGCAAGCACTGTGTGTAATAATGCAATGTATGGATGGGTGTGGAGGCGCTTATGCATTTTCACTTCACGCAAACGCATCCCAACGTGCTCCCGCCATACATACTCTCCGGGAGCTTGAATTCCCTGAAGAGGTCGATCAGCTTGTCCACGTGCACGAACGGGCCCTGGAAACAAGCAAAGACGCACGCAGGGGGTCGAGTCAATGATCGTCCCTCTTGGCCAGGTAAGTTGTAAAAAGCCTGAAGAAAATAATAACCGCACTTTTAATAAAACAACCCCATACTACAAAACATGCGTTTAAGAGTTTTTGGCTGCTGATGTAAATTTCCGTGTGATGATAAGCCACTTCGTCGAGCTGTCCATTTGTGGTACCCAGGTCGCTTCTGAAAAATAGCTACTATATAGCTAAGTGAGCCATACCTAGTAAAATAAAAAAAATAGTTTTAGTTTGAAATGCAGCTATTAGGCTGGGGCACAATAAGAAATCACAAATGCATCAATGCTACAAATGTCCAGGTGTCTGGCTTAGCCATCCTTAAGCAGACAAACAAAACACCATCTCTCAAAGAATCTGAATCTTGATTTATCCTGGAGAAATCTGATGAGCTATGATGCTCTTTTTCACGGATGTTCTCCTGTCGCCATAACTACACCACCACTTTTAATAACAACTCCACTCTTTATTATCTCAACCACTATCATCTTAAGTACAACGCTATAATTGTTGTAAAGCGCCTTGGAATAAGGCGCTCCTGTATAGATCAAGTAGAGGTCCTTCCGCATAGCAGTGACGTAAGCGAACACTTGCACAATCATGTACGTATGTGGAATGTACAATATGCTGAACTTCTTTCGCACCATACGTCGCCAACCAATGGATAATCGGAGGTGCAATTTTGTCTTTACCTCCGCCTCCTCGTAATGAGGGGCGGTATAATCTAAAGCATCTCCTAACGAGGGGCGGTACAATCTAAAGCATCTCCTAACGAGGGGCGGTACAATCTAAAGCGTCTCCTAACGAGGGGCGGTACAATCTAAAGCATCTCCTAACGAGGGGCGGTACAATCTAAAGCATCTCCTAACGAGGGGCGGTACAATCTAAAGCATCTCCTAACGAGGGGCGGTACAATCTAAAGCATCTCTTAATGAGGGGCGGTACAATCTAAAGCATCTCTTAACGAGGGGCGGTACAATCTAAAGCATCTCTTAACGAGGGGCGGTACAATCTAAAGCATCTCCTAAAGAGGGGCGGTACAATCTAAAGCGTCCCCTAATGAGGGGCGGTACAATCTAAAGCATTGAACGAGGGGCGGTACAATCTAAAGCATCTCTTAAATCGGGGCGGTACAATCTAAAGCGTCACCTGGAAGCTTAAGGGGGGCGGACAAAGCTTCATGAGGTGCACGGCGGCGGGAGGCACGGGGAACACTCCTCCCGGAACAGGGTGCAGGCCAGGAGCTGCGGTGGGGAAGCACAGGGAAAGGGAAACCACAATCAGAGAGGGTCGCTACCGCGAGTCTTCGATTCCCACCGGGGGGAAGGACAACAAACTAAACGCAAAAAGCAGTTCTAAAGAAATTAGTTTTAAATCTAGATGATTTAAACTACATCGCTCCAGCGTCTTCAATCCCTGCCATTCAGCCCTCCCAATGCCGCACAGGTGCGTGGGCCCGAAATGCGTTCCGAGTTTACGCAGGTTGTGTGTGTGTACGTATGTTGAGCTTTTTAGCGCTGTACGTAGCCGACCGTGCTAATCGGAAGTGCGTGGAAGAACAACAAACTAAGCACAGCAACGGGCAGTTCTAAATAAAATAATTTTCAATCTAGATTGAAAAATGCATAGCTCCTATTGGCTTCCTAATATCGGAAGGAAGAGTGTTGCAGACGATCGCAGAAGTGCATCTGAAAGCGCGCGATGCAGTAAACCGTCTTTATTCGATGGCTTAGCCAAAAGCCGCTGCTGTGTGGATGACCGGAGTTCGCATGGTGATGGGTTTATGTGCCTTGATGAGATCAGCAAGGCATTGTGGTTCATATTCGGCAAGCACTTTGTGTGCAATGAGTGCGAAAATGTTGGTTTGAATGTTGGTGAAGTTGGTTTTCAGCCATTCTCTTGGTGGCGACCTTTGCTCTACACCCCAATTCATTTACAGCTGTTACAAACGTTATTTGTCATTTGCGCTTACTCATTTTCAGTTTTAAATCTCGTAGGTTTAGATGAAATATAATTACAGATTACAGGTTACTTTAACCATTGCAGGTCATTCAGTTTCAAGTGCCACCATTCATGATTTTACGAGACTAGAATCTCGGTGAGAGTCACGAACGTTTCCTGTGGCAAGAGGAGACCTTTTGATGATACTTGATATTCAAAAACTACCCACAACAGTCTCCACATGTGAATTAACTCTGTGGGTGCTTGAGGTACAATTTACAACTTCACTCTCTGCTGTCCGGATATGGAAATCATTCCCTATCACTGATTCTGGTCTCCAGGCCTTCAAATGCCGAGCGTATGGTACATCTCCTAACTTCACCATACGCCTGCAGTGAACCAACAATTATGCCGATTAGATGTACTAATATCTGATATGGCTGTTGTTCACAATTGCACCCAATATAAAAAATAAAGCAATGCATAGATCACCAGGCGGTTGCACAAAATGGAAATCGTCACACCCTCCCCCCCCCGTACGAAACGACTGCGGACAGAACACGCACCGCCAGGCCACTCGGAGACGCACGCACTCACACGCCCGCGAACACTCACACGGACGCACGCACTCACACGCCCGCGAACACTCACACGGACGCGCGCACTCACACGCCCGCGAACACTCACACGGACGCACGCACTCACATGCCCGCGAACACTCACACGGACGCACGCACTCACACGCCCGCGAACACTCACATGGATGCGCGCACTCACACGGACGCGAACACTCACACGGACGCACGCACTCGCACGCCCGCGAACACTCACGAGCCATGTGTCTTGGCTGAAACGGCGCCATCTGGTGGATGTTTGGCTTGGGGTATTCAGGCCTCCTCGTTACGTCCTCCTCCGAGGAGGTCGGCGCGGCCGACGGGACGGACACAGGGTCTGGCTGGGACGACGTCATCTTAGCGCGCGTTACGTCCTGTACGAGAGAGACAGAGACACGGAGTCAAACCAGGAGGGGAAAAAAAATCACGCTGCAAGGATGACCGGAGTTCGCATGCAGACTGCCTTGCGTGGGGATTTTTTTTGGGGGGGGGGGGGGTGGGGGGGGGGGGGGTGGGGGGGGTGGGGGGTAGGGTCACCTTGTATCCCAGAGCCTTGAGCTCGGACGAAGAGCAGGGGTACAGGTCCATGAACTGGTAGCGGTCGACAAGCAGCGCCGTCTCCTTGCCATCGTACTCCTCGCGGAACGCGGTGAAGCGCCGCTTCTCCACCTTGAGGATGCTCGCCAGGTCGCCGATGCTGCTCTCGAAGCTCAGGAAGCGTGCCCAAATCTCGCTGGGGTCACGACGGCGGCGGCGTGGCGCGTCCACGTGGGAGGAGGAACGAGAGAGGGGGGCGGGCGAGAATGCGTAAGCTTCGTCCGGCACTGGTCTCAGGAAAGGCAGCGATTTAAACCGTGAAACTCAACGCGTAGCTTTGCACAGCCGATGGCACGATTCGTGTGTTGATTTCGAGGTTCTTCCACGGAAATGATCTGGGCCAAAATGTACGTTGCGATACCCTCTCCGCCACCCGACAAAGCCAAATGAATTAAATCAACAAGCGTTTAACCGGCCGATGATGCATTTTTCAGCTCACCCGTAAGTTGAAAAAAATTGCGATGATGGCAACGATTTTGGTGAGAGTGATGCCACACTACCTGGATTTTTCAGGCGGTAGGCTCCCAGACGTCAGCACTCGCTCGAACAGCACTCTGGTGTTGTTGTCCTCTGCAGGGGAAAAAATTATCAGTGTCAACACCGGTGTGCGAACTTCCCATTGACAGCGGTCACGGCCGTAATCATCATCGGTCACGGACAAAGTCATCATCGGTCACAGCCATAATAATAACAAAAATGATTCTTTTTTCATATGGCATGTGGCAACATGCCATACAAACTGTTGCTTACATGCCACAATTTACATTTGCAAGGCACAATTCATTCAGGGATCTCAGTGCGCTATTGACAATGTTGGGAAAGATACATTCCGCAAAGTCCAGAGTCCACTGAATCATACATGGGAAGTGTAGGCCAGGCCAAACAGTCAAGTTTTATTTTTGTGCGTCTATAGTCTCAAACTACAAAACTAGTACTCATCAATTCCAGAATGACATTGGGCTGGGATCAGTCAATCCCTCACTCCCATTTTAACTCACTGGCATCGCCTGCTCACGAAGGATTACGTTCATTTGGCAAACAGCAGGATTTGTTTTCGTTTTTGTAACGATTCAAAAATCACGCCGCTAGAATTTTTTGTTTTGTTTTTTTAACAATTCAAAAGTCACGCCACTTTTTCCGCGCCGTCCGTGTCAAAAGACGGGAAATGGTAAAACGCCGACCCCGGCACGGCTGCCCGCTCACCATTGAGATGCGAGAGGTAGTCAATGTACGCGAGGATATACTCGGGCGTGTCGCCATATTTCTTTAATCCCAACTCGAAAATCTTGAACGCGACCGCCTTGTCCTGTAAGCAGCAACAACAACAAACAAATAAACGTCAGGAACTGACTTGACAAAAAAAGTGTGAGTGCACGCATGCCTGTCAACTTAGAATCAGAATAGTTATTTATACTGGAGGAATCCAATGAGCTATAAAGCTAATTTTTCACAGATATCCAGTAGGGGCACGGGGTCAGAGCGTTACAACAACAATACAAAAACACAAAAGAAGTGCAAAGTATATGAAAGGTAAACAAATTACAAAAAAACACGTTTAATGTACAAATGATTTCACTGACATTAGGTTTCATGAATTTTTTGTAAGCTGTTACTATTGCTGTGATTATAATTTTTTAGCAAATGTATTAGTTTTATTTATACTTAATATTTAACTCGTATGCTTTACATGACGTTCATGGTTTTGATGTCTTAATGTATTAATTAATCGATTCCTTGATTTTATATTTTTACATATTTTCACGGCATCTGTAAAAAAAATTGAGACATTTAAGAAGGTTCACTATCATTGGACAATGATGTCGAAGGTATAGGATTATAATTAGGCCTTTCAAATCATTCCCTCCCTCCTCACTAACCGATGAAGTGTCAAACATTTAAGATCGCAATCCACCAACATTCGTGAACATTTGCGTTTGTTCAGTGAGCTGACTCGTTTTTCAAACGAACCAACAACAACAACCCCGTTTTGTTGAAAAACACTGAAAAAGTGGAAAACCCATCATCAAAAACCAGATTATTGATTCTGAAACATCCCAGGAGACCGGCGCCACCCTTTTTTTTTCCCCCAGCATGCCTTGCTGCAGTAGTACTCCATGAGGGCGGCCGCCACATAGACGTGGTGCCGCGTGCGAATGTCCTCGCGCGCCTTCTTGAACACGGTGCGGCCCGCCTTGATGCCTTCCGCGCGCCGCGCAAACTTCATGTACTGGATGTAGACCTAGGGGGGCAAACACCGTCGTGTGTAGCGCCGGGGAAAGAGATGACATGCGACTAAAAAAAACTAAACTTAATTTTATTTTAGCAGGAAAGGCCACCACTGAGCTATACAGTAGCTCTTTATTCAGAAGCGACCTGGCTATTACATAAATGATAGCTCAACGAAGTGGCTTACCACGTGGGCATTTATAGCAGCAGCCAAACACTCTAAACGCGTTGTGATGTTGATTCTAAACGTGGAGGGAAAAACCGGAGGACCCGGAGAAAAATCCACGCGACCACGGCGAGAGAGACACGCAAACTTCAAACATACAGCAGGCGTCAGGGTCTATATCGAGTCCACAACCTCCTGTATACCACGCGAGGTAGTTAACATCTCATTACAGTGGACACCTATGGGCTATCTACCCATGGATCGCGATGATGGTGTATTTTATTGACACGGAAGCAGCGCCGGTCCCAAGCCACCAGGTCGCGTGTTCGTGTGTGAGAATGCATCGGCGACAACTCACCAGCGTGGGGTCGATGTCCTCCACGGCGGCCAGGCGGCTGTAAATGCTGTGCACCTTTTCGTATTTCATGCGGCTCTGAGGGAGAAACAGAGGCGGGTGGGGGAGGTGGGCGCACACACTAGCATCAGGCCACGTAGGGGGCATACCCTTAGCACATTTGGTCTCAGGGTTGGGATCAAACCCACGAACTCCTGTACACCAGGCTAGGTGGTTAACATCTTGTCACCGTGGAGCCCCCCAGCAAGGCCCCGGTAGGGGGCGCCATCCCCTCGGCTATTTGCGCAGACGCTCCCCACTGGGCTCAGAGATGCTCTGCTGGTGGAGGACACAATCGTCAACAACGCAGCAGGCTCTTCATTATGCGTTCTAAGTGCACAACACATTTTCCCAGTTATGTATGTCCCACGGACATAACAGCTATATTCCACAGACATAACAGCTATATCCCACAGACATAACAGCTATGTCCCACAGACATAACAGCTATATCCCACAGACATAACAGCTATATCCCACAGACATAACAGCTATATCCCACAGACATAACAGCTATATCCCACAGACATAACAGCTATATCCCACAGACATAACAGCTATATCCCACAGACATAACAGCTATATCCCACAGACATAACAGCGATATCCCACAGACATAACAGCTATATCCCACAGACATAACAGCTATATCCCACAGACATAACAGCTATATCCCACATACATAACAGCTATATTCCACAGACATAACAGCTATATCCCACAGACATAACAGCTATATCCCACAGACATAACAGCTATATCCCACAGACATAACAGCTATATCCCACAGACATAACAGCTATATCCCACAGACATAACAGCTATATCCCACAGACATAACAGCTATATCCCACAGACATAACAGCTATATTCCACAGACATAACAGCTATATCCCAGACATAACAGCTATATCCCACAGACATAACAGCTATATCCCACAGACATAACAGCTATATCCCACAGACATAACAGCTATATCCCACAGACATAACAGCTATATTCCACAGACATAACAGCTATATCCCACAGACATAACAGCTATATCCCACAGACATAACAGCTATATCCCACAGACATAACAGCTATATCCCACAGACATAACAGCTATATCCCACAGACATAACAGCTATATCCCACAGACATAACAGCTATATCCCACAGACATAACAGCTATATTCCACACACATAACCCTCCCGCTGGCATCAATTGGGAGATGACACAATTCAAACCACTTAATAATGGCTGCTGAACCACGGTGTATGCCCTGTACGTATATATGCATGTTAAACTTCTTTCCCAGCGTACGAAGTGAACCGTGCCAATCAGAATTGCCGGTAAGGAAGACAAACGGTGAGACTGCGGATAACACAGAGATCCCCCGGATAGCCTTAGCAGACTGTTGGGGCAAGTGCTGTTAGCGAGTAGCACCTATGAAGGCCGGCACGGCGCACGAGGGGGTGGGTGGTCAGTACCACGCCCTACCGCCTTTGTCTCCCCAGTGGCGATGTTTTACACACCGCACCAGGTACCCATTTGAGGCCGAGTCGACCTAGGGGAGGCCCAGGACCGTTTCATATCATCGTCACTGGTGTTGGTGACCGTGAGCGGGAACCGAACCCGGGTCGCCGGGTTCGTAGCGCAGCGCGCTAACTGCCTACGCTACACACACACACACACCTCTTCGAAGTCTGCGTATGCGAAGTAGAGGAGCATGTTTTTGCGTAGCAGGGTGCTGATGGCACGCTCATAGATGGCGGCCGCCTCGTCGCTAAAGAGTTTCGAGTTGTTGATGTCCTGAGGCGGAAACAGAGGTGGCGGGAAAATCGGTTAAACTTTGGCAAGCGGGGTGAAGTTGCACGCACGCGTAATGGGTTCCGGAGACACTCGTCGAGGCGACTTCTTCATTCCGACACAGCACGCCCACAGTCCTTGTACAGCCTAGGGACACAGCCCACTTCTAGCGTGCCCGACACTGGCTACGCTCTCGGGTCCTCCGGCTACGATTACCCTAGGGGAGGCTACCTGAATCGACCCAGCCAAGGTGCGGGTCGAGACCTCTGGCTCCCTCGGGCCTCGCCCTTACAAGGGCGTCGGGCCTGGAGTCCCAGAGTCCCACCACCGGCCCGCACAGCGCCCCGGCCCTTGCAAGGACAGCGGGGCGAGGGGGTCCAGGGTCCTAAGCTGGCTGCTGCTCTTGATTCTTCGGCTGCGACTGGTCCCGAGCTTCTCGGGCGGTCCCCTTTCATGCCCCTTACCCATCGAGGGGTGGGGGCTGCGTGGGATCCTGGGACACCCCGCAGCCCCCCTCCACCACTGCCGGTAAGTGCGGCCCATCTACGACACCACACACGTGTGTTTGCCTGCCAGTGTACAAGTCAACATCGTTCTAGACGACGGATTGCCGAGGTAAATGCCATGGATGTGCATCTGCCTGTAAACTTTCTGTGTACAGCTACACCATGCTGATGAAACCCAAAAACGTAGAAGCTAAGGGTGCACTGACATTAAGAAATACAATTTTTACTGGCACGGGGAAGTAAGAACTTGATTGTTGCTTGCTACGCGCGCCCTCAATATATCCAGGCCAAAAGTCTTTCTGTGTGCGTGAAGGATGCTACTGGGCAGATGGAGGCAGTCGCCCCCTTCAGTAATAGGGCAGAGGAGCGATGCTCACAACGAGCGGAGCGCCGGGCGGCTAAAACAGAGCAAAAGTTGGCACAGTAGCGGGCACAGATAACGCATCTGCCAGTCATCTCAGTCAGTCAACCCATGGCACCTGGGTCTGTCCCGTGACCTCCTGCCAGCGAGCCATCGCCACTTCACGCGATCGCCTCAAAGTGCGCCTAGCTTGGCACAAGTGCCATGGTGACGTCGCCGCCACTTAGCGACGAACGGCGGCCATCGTTGTGGTTGTTGTGTCACACAGACAGGCCCCTTACCCCCTTCTCCGCGAGAAGCTTGCTCGAGTGCTCCAGGTACTGCGCCGCTTCGTACCAGATGTCGGGGTGGTGGCCGAGTACCAGCAGGCACTGCTCGTATGAAAACATCACTGCACACAAAACAAAGACAAAGATCCCCCCCACGTAGCCTTAATAGACTGTTGGGGGCAAGTGCTGCTAGCGAGCACCTATGAAGGCCGGAACGGCACATGAGGGGGCGAGGGTGGCCAGCACCACGCCCGGTCGCCTTTGTGTCCCCAGTGGCGATGTTTACACACCGCACCAGGTGCTCGCTTGAGGCTGAGTCGACCTAGGGGAAGCCCAAGACCGGTAAAGATAATCACTGGTGTGTTGGCCGTGAGGGGGAATCGAACTTGTGGCGCTAGGTTCGTAGCGCAGCGTGCTAACCACTACACACGCACGCACATACGGGCACATGCACGGGCGCGCACACGGTACACGAGAGGACACGGCCAACTGCAGTTCGTGGGCTATACGCGGGCTCACCACAGGTCGCACGCCCACAGCGGTGGAAAATAAACTCCAGAAACGGAAATCAAAACACAATTTCCAGGTCACGTAAGAATGAGCCAGCAATACTGGTTGTAATCCCAGACTTGCAAGTAACATGTTTCTATCTATTAACTGTGTGATGACTGCTCTTCCCTGGAGTATGGGCTGCTATACACATTTCCACGTGACGATAAGCCATTGCCTTGAACTATCATTTGTGATAGCCAGGTTTCTTCCTGAAGAAGAGCTACTATACAGTTCAGTGGTGGGCCTGACCTGGTAAAATAAAAATAGTTTAGTTGAATAGTTTAGTTGAGCAGCCTCCCTCACCGCGCTTGGTGAGCAGCGTCTGGTCCTCGGTGCGCAGGGGGTTGCCCTTCTCCCACTGGATGTAGCGCTTCCACAGCTCCACCTGGTGCGCCTCCTGCGGCGTGTTCTGGGGCGGCACCGACGGCGCATTCCTGTCCAGCCCCTTGGTCACGGTCTCATACTCCTGGTCGCGGGGGAAAAAGCACACGCACGCACACGCACACACATGCACACACACACACGCGCGCGCACGCACACACATGCACACACACGCACACACGCACGCACACACACACGCACACACGCGCACACACAGACACGCATACACACATGCACACACATGCACACACATGCACACACACACATACACGCACACACATACACGCACACAGACGCACGCGCACACACACGCACACACGCACACACACATGCACACACACGCACGCACACACACGCACACACACGCACACACACGCACACACGCACACACATGCACACACACGCGCGCACAGAAACGCACGCATGCAAAACGCGCAGCGGTAGCAGCGATTAATGAATGCGACGACAGCAGCGATGTAAAGACAACAAAAAAACTAGCATTTAGCATTCTTGGTTCTTTCAGTAACGTCACATAGAAGGGAAACAATAAAATAATAAAAATAAAAAAAACAATATAATTACTTTATTGTTTCCCTTCTACGTGACTTTACCGAAAGAACCAAGAATATGAATCCCTGCAGTCACGAAAGCTTTAAATCAAAATTTAGCTTGTAGTACTTACATTAAAGTCTGTTTCTCATAGGTGACTATCGACACGCTCCGGGTAGGGTAGAGGTGACAGCTCATCTGTACCATACCCAGAGCATGTCGGTGACCACCACATGATCAACACTCGCCGGCAATACGGCCAGCAAGTTACATGCACTGTAGATTTGTAGGTTTATTACTTCGTTAAATGCTTAGAATAGACCCCCAGACCCACCTTGGCGACGCGCCGTGCGTTCATGTAATCTCGGCTACGATCCTCGATCATCTTCTTGGCAAGGTGCACGTTAATGCCCTGCGCAAAGAACGCAAACGCGCGAAGGTCAAACCGTACCCGGCGCAGGTACAAGACTCCGAACAACGTCCTTCCCCCGCACCTCCGATTAGCAAGGTTGGCTACGTATGGTGCGAAAGAAGTTCAACATACATACGTACGTAACAAGAGCTGAAGAGTATGCAGAGAAGCGTGGAGAGAAACAGGAAGGGAACTTACACTCTGACAGGCAAATGCAAGTCGGAGACATCATGTTCACTTTTGAGAAAAAGTCGGTGGACTCGGGCAGCGCACACCGCCAGACAGAATTGATGCCCAACGGATGAGACTGGTGACAGCCAATGGCAGCTAACGGAGAGAATGCGCATCGAGCGAAGACGACACCCCAGGGGATGGGCGCTACAGTGGCTAAGAGATGTTAACTACCTCACCTGGTATACAGGAGGTTCGTGGGTTCGATCCCAACCCTGACGCCTGCTGTGTAATTGGAGTTTGCGTGCCTCTCTCCCCATGGTCATGTGGATTTTTCACCGGGTCCTCCGGTTTTTACCTCCACATTTAGAAACATGCGTTTAGAGTATTTGGCTGCTATAAATGCCCACGTGAAAAGCAACTTGTTGAGCTATCATTTGTGGCCAGGTCACTTCTGAAAAAGGGCTGTATAGCTCAGTGAGCCTTACCTGGTACAATGCTAAAACTAAAATCTAATCATATTTTTCATTGTGATCAGCTCGTGTACAGAAGCGAGACGCACTGCTGCATTGTGGGACCATGAAGGATGGTACTGACAGAGGCAGGCCTTCATCCAGCAGTTGATAAATAACACACCTGTCAACCCACACGGTTTAGCCGTATTCTTGTACAGGGAAATTGAGTTTTCAGGTCCATACGGCGTGCAGCCATTTCAAAACGGGCTAAGAAAATGCGTTTATTTGTTTGTGTTTCTCCCTTGTGATGGGACTTTGTAGGATTTATAAGGGCACACACAGGGTGACTAATAAGGTCTAAATTGGTCAGTAATAAGGCAGGCACTGATAAGAGATTGACAGGTATGAGATAATGGCTGCTGCTGCCGATGATGATGAGGACGAGATGACAGGATGAAATGAGTCAGCTGGTGGTCTCGACGGGCACAGCATCCCTTAACATGCGAAGGGTTTGCCGCTGCGTCTACTCTCTGATTAGCGCGGTTGGCTACGTACGGTGCGAGCAAACCTCAACGTACGTACATGCTCTCACTCGAAGCCTCACCTCCTCGTATTTGCTGTAGTCCCGCCACAGGTGCTCGATGTTGATCATGGGGTTGACGCATCCACGCTGGTAGACCCTGCGCACGGCCGTGATGCGCTGGTTCTCCGCGTACGAGCCCACCGCCTCCCTACACAAAGATAAAAGCCCTTCAGAGACTGCACCGGGGAAAGTGCTGTTAGCGAGCACCGATTAAGGCCGGCACTCAGGGCCGTCCAAAGGGGAGGGGGGTGCGCAGCCTGGGACAAATCACAGCGTGTGGGCCGCCCCCACCGACGCTTTGAAACTAAACCGGAAGAATTACATTTGAGACCACCGTGACGTCGAAGCACGGGCCCCCCCCCCCCCCAAGGCGCGGGGCCCAGGGCAGCCGCCCAGATTCCCGGTACCCTAGGGACCCCTCGGCCGACACGGCACACGAGGTGGTGCGTGGCCAACACCACGCCCGGCCGCTTTTGTCCGACCCAGTGCTGATGTTTCTCGCACTGCGAGTCAGGTGCTGACGCGAGGCTGAATCGACCTAGAGGAGGCCCAAGACCGGTTCAGAAAATCACCTCTGATGTTAGCCACGGCCGGGACTCGAACTCGGCGTGCCGGGATGGCAGTGCGCTATATACTGCACTTCCACTTCCAACCGCATGTAAATCCTCACACACGTGCAAAACAAGTGGTGTAATTATTCGAACATCTACCACGTCACTTAAGTGGCGGTTACATGACCCTTGAGCTTGTGCCAGACTAGATGCACTTTGAGTGCCATGTTAAGCAGCCTTGCAGGAGAGACCCAAAGGCTTTAATAGACGGACCTTGGCAAATAATATTTCGTAAAAGTACTTACACTCCCTTAAGGAAGCTGATGTAGTCAACCCAGATCTAAAAAGGAGAAACAATAAAACACTGGAATTAACGTCAGGTTTGCAATTGCAGTCCAAACACAATGATAACGCCAAGTGAATGTCGATTTATAACGACACGAGGCTGCGCTGTTTCCTGCACGGCATCTTGATATGCGGTAACATTTATACAATTTACTTCAACCGATAAGCCGTGGGGGGGAAGAGGGGGGGTTGAGGTGGGGGGGGTGGGTGGGTGCCTTACTGGGTAAGACATGATGTCCATTCCAATCTTGTCCAGGGCAAAGTCATAGGCCTGAGCCATCTTCTCTCTAAGGCGAGGAGGGAAGCAGGGGGGGAGGGGGGTGGCGGGGAGGTTGAGAATAATTGTAACGTCCGTGCCCGGAGGTATCGCGTTCGCGGTGTCAAGGCTACGTGCAAGAATCAGAACATTTATACTGGAGGAATCCGATGAGCTACTAAGGTCTATTTCACAGGCGTCCGGCAAGCGATACGGCACAAACCGCACGTTCTTTCCGGTTAGCGCAGTGGTAGCGAGCTTGCTTTATAAACAACAGTTCTCTGAGCTACATCCATTCATCGGAGCTCATCCTGTGACTAGAAAGCCAATCTCTCTAGGTCAGTGGTTCTCAAGGCGTGGACTCCGGGCACCACAGGGTGGTCCGTGACGGTCCTCCGGGTGGGTCCACGGGGGCTGCGATGCAAACGCAGGTTGATCCGGACAATAACGAAGACGTTTATTACACCTTTTGTTTCGGACATTAAATGAATATTTTTTCTTACGATGTTTAATTTTAAAATTACGTTAGGCAAACTACCCTGACCCTAAGATCTAGATTCCACCCCTAAAAAAAAACCTTATAGCTGAGTTATAAAATGTTTCGGACATTAAATGAATATTTTTACTTACGATGTTTAATTTTAAAATTACGTTAGGCAAACTACCCTGACCCTAAGATCTAGATGCCACCCCTAAAAAAAAAAAACCTTATAGCTGAGTTATAAAAAAATATATGTTCTGGTCAATACGAATCAATTTGTAAGAGTGGTATTTAGAGAGGCGAATGCGTTTTGTCACCAGGGGTGGAGGGCGGCTGGGTGGTCCGCGGAAATGTTTGCTTCGACTGAGTGTCCACGGGCCAAAACAAAGTTTGAGAACCGCCGCTCTAACGCTAAGGCTTGGTTGGGCTAAAAGGGAGTATTGGTCACTTGACACCAAAAGGCACGTCATTTAAATTTCAGCGGCTCTCTCGCGACCACTCCGTAACACGTGGAGCGAAAGAACCCAGCCTACAGCGGCAGCCACAATGCACGATAAATAAAATGAGCGCGAATGTACGTACATAGCCAACCGTGCTAATCGCAGAGGTGCGGGGGAAGGAAAACAAATTAAATACAAAAAGTAGTTCTAAAGATATGATTTTTCAATCTTGATTTAGCGGTGCGTAGCTCCCAGCGGCTTCCTAGAATAAAACAGTAGTGCTATGGCCATGTGTACGTATCCCTCTACTACTTCCTGTCCGCATCCTTAAAACCTTAACCAACTTCCCCCTTCCTAACCTTGTCCCCTCCCTTTCAACATCCTCCCTTGCCACCCATTCCCCTTCCTAACCTCGCCCCTCCCTTTGCCTATGATCACCCCTCTTCCTTGCCATCCCTTCCCCTCCCCAACACTCAAACCCCATCCCTATTCCCCACCAGCCAACAACTAACGCACCATTTATAATTCTTGTAAAGCGCTTTGACAAAACACGCTCTATAAACTCCTAGAAAAGATACGATGCACGGGAGACAGGGTGTGTGTGTGTGGGGGGCCGGGAGCGAGTTTAAGAAACCGTGAAAACAATCCGGCGGAGAGGCTCACTTGAAACTGGGCAGCTTTCCCTTGGTGTCGCGCACGTAGGTGAGGTAGCATTTCCACAAATCGATGTGCAGAACCTTCATGAGACATCGCTGGAACAGCTGCTCCACACAAGATAGCGGAGCCCCAGCGTTAGCGTTGGGCAGCGTTTCTCGGCGAGGGCACGGTCGCCGTCGGCGAGCGTGCCACTCGATCCGGCCACAAAGCGGCGTGGTGGGGGAGGGTACCACGGCGCGTAGTAGTCCAGTCGCAGGCATTTGTTGACCACGCACGCGCGCAACAACAACAACAACCGCCGCCATTCGGCAAGAAGTGGCGGCGACGTCACCACGGCGCCTGCGCCAGGCCATGCGCACGTTAAGGCCACGTGAAGTGTCGAACGCCCACTGGCAGGTCATGGGACAGACCCAGGTGCCATGGGTTGACTCACTGGGATGACTGGCCCGTTGCACCACCTGTGCCCCCTACTGTACCACACATGCGCACACAACACTGGGCAGACTAACACACACACGCATATGCTCCACAAGCTCACGTTTGGATGTAGTGGACTAAAGGATGCCCGCACCAAACACTTTTCACCACCGAAACCATTTTTGCCACGCACTGCTGATGTGATGTTACACCTTTAGGAATCTAAATCCCAAGGGCTAGCCTAATGATCAGTAGTTTTATCAGAGGCATTCTGTACGAAGTTGAAGACTGGATTCATTGTGGCTCAACCCTGCCTGATGTGAACAGGAATTCACTATCAAGTGATAAGTAAATGTGCGCCAATGTTATTGCGCGTAAATGTAATTTTAATCCAGTATTTTTTTTACATTTTATTATTTCCAGTATGCGGGACATCCCCCGTAGCCAGAAAATAACTCGAATTAGTCCGGCTTCGACAGGATTTATAATCATAGCGAGGGTTCCCCCCCCAGGAAAACAACGATCGGTCGCGTTAATAACAACCGGCAAAGCAGCGAAATTCACAGCTCGTCGGTCTGGGCATTCCCCCCCCCCCACCCCGACCCATCACAACGGTTGTCACGCAGCTTACCTTCTCTACTCTGTCAAAGTGTTTGGATTTTATCTGGAACGCAGCACAAGAGGGGAAAAGCATCGCAAAGTCATTTCTGCAGCACAGTACGGGCAAAAGAAACTAGGTGACGCACGTTGCGCGCGAGCACACACACACACACATCGGGGGAAATCGACATGAAATGAACGCGAGCACGACGGTACATTCGGGACTCACGCATCGCTCGCATTTCACGTGCAACGTCGCAAACTGAATTCAATTAACGTGCACCTACAATAAGTCACCGGGTTTTCACGCAGATTTATTTAAAGGTATGCACAAACTCACACGCCGTCGAGATTCACAACATTTCTGAATTAACTCAACACACTCGTCAACAACAAGGCGGGTCTTAAAAGAAAAACGGCAGTGTATATGATGGGCGACGTTTTGGGCAATGGGCCTTCTTCATAACGCATGGCATTTACGAAAGTATTAATTTCTGTAGTATATGCAAAAATGGGCCACCGATGTGCTATGAATAAGTCGGCATCAGTTGTGTTTCACGAATGCATACGCTGCACATCACACGAGTTGTAATGTTATGTACGCCACCAAAATAAACATGGATATGAAAACACCAATATATAGCTTCATACAACATAGGCCAGTATTATTCACGAGTTAAAAAGGTCCAGTTTCTATATTCAAGTCTTGAAATTAATCAATCATACACCAAACATCTCAGTGGACATATAATCAAGTCCCATACTAGTCAAGCTTCATAGTCATCGTGTGCGTGCAGACCACGCTGAAAATAAAAATTAAAGAGCGCTGTTCCGCGTGCAGTCGAGCAGCAGCATAGTGGTTCGCAGACTTCCCGCGCCTCCGTTTAAGCCCGGTTGTCCACGTAGGGTGGCGAAGGAAGTTCAACGTACGTACACTTCTCTTCTATGGACCCGATGACCCCGAGTTCATTCCTTGGCTCAGCCCACCGTCAGCGTCGAGTGATATCTGATCTGGCCATTGGCTTCCAGCGTGGCGAGGTATGGTTAAACAACTCCCATAACTCGCATTGGTGTGGCGGAGGTCTTCGTACAGCAGTGGACTGACAAAGTGGCTGAATTATTAATCAGTTTTAATCACCATTGTTAATTTTATTTTCCGTTGATGCTACTAGACGGCATCTTACATGTATATACAGTACGATAATATGAATCATTTGGCGGGACCACGGGGTCCCGCAAAAACCAGGTCAATAATAATTATTATTTTTCAGTCCGCCCACTCGAGATCTCGACAGCAACGCGCCGCCCGCCCAGACTCGCGTCAACAAGCTGGCGCTTGTTGACGCGAGTCTGGGCTTGCGTTTGGCCACCCCACCGGCCCAAACGCAAGCCCGGGCGTCCGCCGCAGTCGCGCGCGGTGACAACGCCCTCCGTCAGCCGTCGATCCTTAGCTTCTTTGCCAAGGCGAGCCCGCCGCCCCCAGGCAGTGAATTGAACGTGTTTATGTAATTTTTCAACTGTTTACGAAACTTAGTGTCCCCGAGTAGCTCTCGACGAGGCCAATCGATTGACCACTAGTTGTGTTGTCGGTAAGGCAGCAAGACTCGTGTCGCTACGCGGTTTTTCCCACCCCGGGGCAGTGATGGGACCCCGGGGTCCCTCCAATTGCTTCATATATTCCAATTTGTTTAGGAAACATGTCAGCTCTTGAGAAAATAACTTCTTGTCTCAATACTCTTTGGTTCTTTCGGTAAAGTCACGTAGATACTTAGTCGTTTTCATTTATTTTTGTATTTGCTACCTACGTGACTTTACCGAAAGAACCAATGAGTATGGATTCCTGCAGTCACGAAAGCTTCGAATCAAGATTCTTGTCTCAAGTGTGAGGCGTCGTGATGGATGTGTAATGCGTAATTAAATTGTGCCAGTCAGATTTCACCAAAGAATAAAATAAACAACTTTTATTTTAAGGTAAGGCCGACACCGAGCTACATAGCTCTTTTTCAGAAGCGAACTGGCTATCACAATTGCTGGCGCAATGAATTGGCTTATCACGTGGAAATTTATAGTAAGCTAAATAATACTATAAACGCGCGATGTTGATTCTAAATGTGGAGGGAAAAAACAGAGGCACCGGAAAAAATCCACGCGGCCACGATGAGAGAGACATGCACACCACAAATATACAGCAGGCGTCAGCGTCGGGATCAAACCCACATCCTCCTGCGTACTAGGCGAGCCAGTTAACATCTCGCCACCACGGCACCCCCAGAGACACGATGCACACATTGAACTTAAACTATATACAACCAATCAAACTACATTTTCAAGGGTTATGGAAAAGATAATGCAATCTAAGACGAGATTTGAAATGCGACCCATTCTCTTTTTCCCCAAGCCACGTCTGATTCGAACAGCCGAGAGGAAGAAGTGGCGTGCGTGAATGCGTGATGTCAGCGTCATGCGAGACGAGCGCGCAGAAGGATGTCGCCTACAGAGCGGAATCGACGGAGATCTCATTCCTCGTGTTAAAAACGCTGCCGACACATGCGTCAAAACAACGCTGCCCAAAAAAGGAACACTACACAACAGGTGCTGTTTCGGGTAACGAACCTCCTTCAGAGCACACCAGAGACGTCGTGTCGTTATGGACGTTGTGTTTTTTGACATCTTTAACAGAGTTCCTTAATGTATGCTTTTGTTGCCTTACATCTCTACAACCGTTGCACGGCTACATTCAACGACACGGGTTTGACAACGTAGGCCTTTGCCTAATACGCTGTAGAGTGCGGTAATTAAACAAATGTACACCCCCTTTTCCACCCACTGCTGAATGAAGGTCTCCCCCCTTTGTCACGCCGGTCATGGAAGTTGTTTTCCCATACTTCACTGCGCTAGCCAGCACAGGTTGAACGTGAAGAGCCAAGAGGACCTGTTCAGATACCGCTCGCCCACTGATGTTAACCGTGGCCATGAACCTAAACCCATGATGCCGGGTTGTTCGTACGGTCGGTCGCCGACACGCTCCGGATGAGGTACAGATTAGCACGGTTGGCTACGCACGGACGCGAAAGGAGTTCAACATACGTACATGCAGATGCCGAGCGTGTCGATGACCACCCAAGAAAAAACAGATTTAACACAAGTGCTAAAATCGAATTTCACAGCGCGGCCCTTTATGAACCAATGCGCCAACGTCCCCGCCCGACTGTCCTCCAAAACGTCCCGTTAACAGCGCGATCGGCGCAATCGTTACGTCGCACCGCAGACAAATTCTCGTTGCAACCCAGCTCCTCCTCGGTTAACAAAGAAGCCTCCGGTGCCGGCTAAGCGAGGGCAGCGTTAATTTCATGCGGTAGCCGTCCGATGGAATGGGATCCATGGCCAGGGTGGTTGAGCCAGAGCCACACAATGCCATAGTAATTCGAGACTGGCTCGTCGACCGACGATCGGTGCGGTTGAGCGCGACGGTACGCAGAGCGATACCGAGCGACGACAGAGCAACACTGCTGGCAACAGCTGCTCTGCGCCAAGTGTGGGATGGGGCTTTCCTGAAGGCGGAGCGATCACACCCGAGCAAACAGTTGCAAGCAACTGGGGTTGCATGCAACTGAATCGCTCTCGTGACTGGGCGTCTCCAAAACCAGTTAAGCGATCAGTTGTGCAATTGGATTGCTCGCAGTAAAGACGAGACTCTAACTGCAAGCATCGTACTACTGTTCAGCGACTTGTAGCGCCATGCTTCAAAACCATGTGACGCTTGGCGAAATACGGTTGTTACAATCCTGATGCAGGTGGGGGGGGGAGCGGTAGCTAGCTAACCAGAAAGAGAGCAGGTGTTGGTTGTGAGGGGCACGGCAAAGACGCACGACAAGGCAGCTGCAGCCAACAAAGTTGCGCGATGTCGAGAGCGATTGGGATGCGTGACCGATCCCGGGGCTTGGAGCAGCCCTCCACGCAACCAACGGACGGCATCTTTAAGACACCATCAGGCAGCGTAAAGGCAACAAAAGGGGTTTTTGTTTTTGTTAGATCGCGTAAATGTGTCGTTAAACCCGCCACCACCCGTCATACCCAATTAGTAAGGTTTGTCACGTAAACAAAACGCGCAAATTAGTCACTCGTACAGCACACTGATGTGTTGGGAGAGTAAACCCACAACGTTTACAATTCGAGTATGACTTTTCTCTGGTGATTACAACAACCTCATCAGGCGATAGACAGAACTTTTAGAAAGTCCTTCCGTATTGGCCTTAAATAGGGGGGGGTAAAGGCGATGTCATCACTGTGAGCCTTTCAGATGCGATGACCTGAGGGGAGTTAATGTTGTCATAGAAGTTACAATGGATCGCGTACAGCTGAGAAAATGAAGTACCTATTGTTTGGCTGGGTTATGGTTTCACGACACATTTATATTTACGCAATCTAACACAAAAAAATAACTTATGGACATTGTTGGCGAAAACCTGCGTGTTGAAGTGTAAAGGCGACCATAAAGGGGCCCCGAGAGAAAATGTTTCCGCTCGGTGGCGCTGCAGAGCGGAGCAATAATGACTGCTCCACCGGTTCTCCCCCCCCCCCCCCGAGACGAAACCAGAGCTGTTCCCCCTCGTGTGAAATAAAGAGTGGCCAGTGTAATGTTACTTTTTTTACTGGCATTTTTAAAAACGGGGACCGGTGGTCAAAACTGCACTTCATGGTGAACCCAAAAAAGCCGTCATCACGGAAGTATTCAACGCCGATCCAATCGCAGCTCTAATTTGGCGATAGTAAAAAGGTGATGCTTATATCCCGTTACCCACGGCAATTATTCTTGCACGCAAGATGAAGCCATCCATTTAGTAGGTACGCAAAAATCTGACGAAACTTAACCCCTCCCGCCCTCCCTGTACGCACGCGTACTTTTTACAACCCCACCTGCGTACATACGCTTGACGCACCCCCCCAGCCCCCCCCTCCAAATCCTATAGAACGGCCGATATTAAATCCACGCAGAAACGATAAAGGATTAATAATATTAACGTGTTTAAGCAAACATAGTCCACCACCGCTGCATTATCGAGG